CGAAACAAAACGTAAATCGACGAAAAGCCTCAAATAAACCGTGTTATACACATAATAGCCTCGAAACAAAACGTAAATCGAAGAAAAGCCTCAAATAAAACGTTTTATACACATAATAGCCTCGAAACAAAACGTAAATCGATGAAAAGCCTCAAATAAACCGTTTTATACACATAATAGCCTCGAAACAAAACGTAAATCGAAGAAAACCCTCGAATAAACCGTTTTATACACATAATAGCCTCGAAACAAAACGTAAATCGACGAAAAGCCTCGAATAAACCGTTTTATACACATAATAGCCTCGAAACAAAACGTAAATCGTCGAAAAGCCTCAAATAAAACGTTTTATACACACAATAGCCTCGAAACAAAACGTAAATCGACGAAAACCCTCAAATAAACCGTTTTATACACATAACAGCCTCAAAACAAAACGTAAATCGACAAAAAGCCTCAAATAAACCGTCTTATACACATAATAGCCTCGAAACAAAACGTAAATCGACGAAAAGCCTCAAATAAAACGTCTTATACACATAATAGCCTCGAAACAAAACGTAAATCGACGAAAAGCCTCAAATAAAACGTCTTATACACATAATAGCCTCGAAACAAAACGTTAATCGACGAAAACCCTCAAATAAACCGTTTTATACACATAATAGCCTCGAAACAAAACGTAAATCGACGAAAAGCCTCAAATAAAACGTTTTATACACATAATAGCCTCGAAACAAAACGTAAATCGACGAAAAGCCTCAAATAAAACGTTTTATACACATAATAGCCTCGAAACAAAACGTAAATCGACGAAAAGCCTCAAATAAAACGTTTTATACACATAATATCCTCGAAACAAAACGTAAATCGACGAAAAGCCTCAAATAAAACGTTTTATACACATAATAGCCTCGAAACAAAACGTAAATCGACGAAAAGCCTCAAATAAAACGTTTTATACACATAATAGCCTCGAAACAAAACGCAAATTGACAAAAAGCCTCAAATAAAACGTTTTATACACATAATAGCCTCGAAACAAAACGTAAATCGATGAAAAGCCTCAAATAAAACGTTTTATACACATAATAGCCTCGAAACAAAACGTAAATCGACGAAAAGCCTCAAATAAAACGTTTTATACACATAATAGCCTCGAAACAAAACGTAAATCGACGAAAAGCCTCAAATAAAACGTTTTATACACATAATAGCCTCGAAACAAAACGCAAATCGACGAAAAGCCTCAAATAAAACGTTTTATACACATAATAGCCTCGAAACAAAACGTAAATCGACGAAAAGCTCAAATAAAACGTCTTATACACATAATAGCCTCGAAACAAAACGTAAATCGACGAAAAGCCTCAAATAAAACGTTTTATACACATAATAGCCTCGAAACAAAACGTAAATCGACGAAAAGCCTCAAATAAAACGTTTTATACACATAATAGCCTCGAAACAAAACGTAAATCGACGAAAAGCCTCAAATAAAACGTTTTATACACATAATAGCCTCGAAACAAAACGTAAATCGACGAAAAGCCTCAAATAAAACGTTTTATACACATAATAGCCTCGAAACAAAACGTAAATCGATGAAAAGCCTCAAATAAAACGTTTTATACACATAATAGCCTCGAAACAAAACGTAAATCGACGAAAAGCCTCAAATAAAACGTTTTATACACATAATAGCCTCGAAACAAAACGTAAATCGACGAAAAGCCTCAAATAAAACGTTTTATACACATAACAGCCTCGAAACAAAACGTAAATCGACGAAAAGCCTCAAATAAACCGTCTTATATACATAATAGCCTCGAAACAAAACGTAAATCGACGAAAAGCCTCAAATAAAACGTCTTATACACATAATAGCCTCGAAACAAAACGTAAATCGATGAAAAGCCTCAAATAAAACGTTTTATACACATAATAGCCTCGAAACAAAACGTAAATCGACGAAAAGCCTCAAATAAAACGTTTTATACACATAATAGCCTCGAAACAAAACGTAAATCGACGAAAAGCCTCAAATAAAACGTTTTATACACATAATAGCCTCGAAACAAAACGTAAATCGACGAAAAGCCTCAAATAAAACGTTTTATACACATAATAGCCTCGAAACAAAACGTAAATCGACGAAAAGCCTCAAATAAAACGTTTTATACACATAATAGCCTCGAAACAAAACGTAAATCGACGAAAAGCCTCAAATAAAACGTTTTATACACATAATAGCCTCGAAACAAAACGTAAATCGACGAAAAGCCTCAAATAAAACGTTTTATACACATAATAGCCTCGAAACAAAACATAAATCGACGAAAAGCCTCAAATAAAACTTTGTTTCGAGGCTTTTTTCTCTATAGAACGTTTTATTTGAGGCTTTTTGTCAAAAAGCCTCAAATAAAACGTTTGATATACAAAAAAAACTCGAAACAAAGCGTTTTTTGACAAAAAAACCTAAATAAAACGTTTTATAGAAAAAAGCCTCGAAACAAAACGTTAATAGACAAAAAGCCTCAAATAAAACGTTAATGGACAAAAGGCCTCGAATATAACATTTCATATACAAAAAAGCCTCGAAACAAAGCGTATTTTTGACAAAAAGCCTAGAATAAAACGTTTAATACACATAAAAGTCTCGAAACAAAGCGTTTTTTGATTAAAAGCCTCAAATAAAACGTTTCATATACGAAAAAGCCTCGAAACAAAACGTTAATAGACAAAAAGCCTCAAATAAAACGTTTCATGTACAAAAACGCCTCGAAACAAAACGTTAATAGACAAAAAGCCTCAAATAAAACGTTTAATACACATAAAAGCCTCGTAACAAACGTTTTTTGATTAAAAGCCTCAAATAAAACGTTTCATATACGAAAAAGCCTCGAAACAAAACGTTAATAGACAAAAAGCCTCAAATAAAACGTTTCATATACAAAAAAGTCTCGAAACAAAGCGTTTTTTGACAAAAAGCCTCAAATAAAACGTTTTATAGAACAAAAAGCCTCGAAACAAAACGTTAATAGACAAAAAGCCTCAAATAAAACGATTCATATACGAAAAAGCCTCGAAACAAAACGTAAATGGACACAAAACCTCAAATAAAACGTTTCATATACAAAAAAGCCTCGAAACAAAGCGTTTTTTGACAAAAAGCCTCAAATAAAACGTTTAATACACATAAAAGCCTCGAAACAACGCGTTTTTTTTCATTAAAAGCCTCAAATAAAACGTTACATATACGAAAAAGCCTCGAAACAAAACGTTTATAGACCAAAAGCCTCAAATAAAAGGCTTTTTTTGCAAAAAACGCTTTGTTTTGAGGCTTTTTCGCGCCAAAACGAGGCTCTATGCGCTAAAATGTTTTATTTTGAGGCTTTTTAGATCAACATTCATGCTAAGCACATACCAAGTCTAAGATCTTACTGACTTGATTTAAATAGCGGTTAAGCGCCCCCCGAAAATTGGGGTCGCTTATAGGCATCGATGTTTAGTATGAATTTCACCCAACCTTCGCACATATAAACATATAACGACATATAACATATAAACTCATGATCTAGTCAAATCGGCATACCTGGTAAATATCCGACCCATGGCACTGGCGGATTAGGGGGGGCGCCCCCAAAAAATTGGGCCCGAAGATTGCCAAACAAGGCCTTCAGGCCCCAAAAAGTGGGTCTTTTTGATCATTACTGGGCCTTTTAGGCCTTAATTTTTAATTTCAGGCCAAATTTTGAAGAAGATGGGTCTCAAAATTTCAAAATTTGGGCCCACTTTTGGATTTTAGCGGACGTTTTTTCTCTGACCTGAAATTTGGGCCCCCCCCCCCCCCCTTGTTGGTTCCTAGATCCGCCCCTGCATGGTTTTCATAAAAGAAACGACAATATTTTAAAGCTCAAAACTGCCACGTGTCCGCCATTTCGTGATTCCATCATGAATTCTCCCAAATAATATAATGGTAATATGACGTGCACGGACCTGGGGTCAATTCGGGAAAACGGGCTAATCTCAGCTTTAAGCGTTAATATCTGCCTTATTTAAAAAGCTAACTATGTGCATTATTTATCATTTTGAAATATTTTTTATTCGCATTTCACTGAAATCATTTTTCCTTGAAAAGTTTGATGAGATCTACCATATTTTTAAAGTTAAATGTACGTCAAATACGCTGTAAGACGTAACATTCCAAGCTTACACGGTTCGTTGAATTCGGGATAACTTTTGTAATACTGATCAGAATTTTACTAAAATTTCACATTTTATTCATTGAAACATGTGCTTTTATGACGTCACAATTGCCTAGCGGCTACAGTTCAAATCGTCTTATATGAACACTTTTAAAATTTTCAAAATTGTGTACGGTTTTGAAGGCGAAGGAGACAAGCAATAAGTTTACCTTTATTTAAACTTCTAATTTAGGTCTGATTTCAAAATAATTTAACTGCACAATATTGTCATGGCGAAATTTACAAAACAATAACCGATTTCTTATTCTCCAAATAATAAGAAAATAAGAGTTGCTTTTAGAGATTTGAAAAAATGTAACGCATCGATTTTTTACTACAAATCCCATACATATCAATTTTTGCTAACGCCCCGAGTGGATTTCCTGACCGTTTTTCAAAAATCAAAAACATTTTAGAAATACTGTCCTCAAGATCTTGTTGCTCTGTGAATTTTACCAGGATTGAATAAAAATAAAGCATCTTATTTCTAGGTTGACTAAAATTGACAAAATGTAACGCTTGTCGTTTTTGACGTTATAATGCTCTTATTGAAAAATGATACGTTATTGTAAATATCTTTTGTTTTCCAGAAAAAAGAATGCACTTTGGTGATTTTAAGAAAATAGACATGAAAAGTAATTGTATGTATAGTTTTAGTTTTATTTTATCATGTTTATTTGCTGTACACTTACCCGAAAAGGATTTTTAGTACAATAAAGCATTGGAATATATATGAATTGCAAACTCTGGAGTATGAATATCAGAATGGGGTTCATATGGTACATTGAATGAAATCGATCCAGGCATTACACATGGTTTCGTGTTGCGCGATGAAGGGTCCCATGTACACTGCACAGGATTTGTTTATATTTAGCTATTGGGAATGTGTTCAAGAATTATGTTCAAATTTCTCAATACAAAGTAGTTAACTTCTGTAAAATTTTATCAAAGCAACATTTGTTGAGGTTTTAACATGTTAACACTTCACAAATATCACCCGGTAGAACATTTTAAACGTATCATAAGTCCGTTTCGCAGGGACATAGCCGGACGTTGAGTTAGGAGCACTGAGATAACGTAAGTAATTCTGTTTAATTAACTAAACAATTAACACCACTGGTATCAACGTAAGAAGAATTTAAACAAACAAATGCTTAATTTATTCTTGCTCATTATAGATATTGTATATATATGAGGTTATGGAAGCGAGAGACCCCGGGATGCCACATGTTGCATATGTAGTGGTACTATGGTACTATCTGTATTTTAGACACCAAAATGAATGACATAAATCAGGTTATGTCAGGTACATGTGTATTGCTAGTCACAAGTTTTACCTGAGACCAACATATCTCATATTCCCAAGTCATTGATTGATATATTAACTGACAAAGGCACATCAACCGCAGCATTGTTAAGATAAATTAGATTTACAAAATTGTCTGTGAAAGGACAGGACAGAAGACGTTTTATCAAGATTATTAGGAGGGCACGTCTGTTAACGACAGGAACTAAAATTAGGCGAGCCGGTGTGGTAGGCGTAAACTTTATTTCAAGTTGTAAAAACATCAAAAATATATTTCCATAAGTTTTAGGCGAGGTAGTAGCATCGCTTGACTCATACACGACTACTTTCATGGGCAAAGACAACATTTGAGTGGCATAAACATTTTCTTCATTTCTAAAATCATGAGCATGTTAGCTATCGTGATTTTCAAACATGCTCATGTTTAGCAAAAGATCGATATTACAGGTATTTGAGTTTATTTGTTAAAGACTCAAAATACGAAAATTGAATGTACACATATATGATTCACTTAAAAAGAACACACGTTAAGCCACAGTAAGTATGCAGTTAAGATTTGGGGCAAGCCCAAATCATGATCTTTTTGGTATAATCATGATTTGAGCTTGCCCCAAATCATAACTGCATACTGTCTGTGGTTAAAGTCCTTTTAATGTTCACCCCCACCTCGGTGGACATCCACCTACCCACCACACCATTTAGAGTCTGATTGTTTTTAATCTATCATGCACAATTATTGTAAGAGACTAGCTAGACTATTCAACACTGTTAATCCAATAGACTGCGAGTAGAAATAATTTTGATTTGCGCCATTAAATATTCGGAATTCAGTCAAAGTAATGTCATATTTGAAATCTACATGTAAAAGTACTTCTAGAATATCTTTTCTTGTATTTGATGAATAACATTTTCTTTAACTGGACATATTTCAATTTGCATAACTACTAGATACACAATGGTTATATGGAAATTGAACCACTAAAACAGATGTAGGCAGAATCTGATCTATAAAAGTTATAGCACTAAATTAGCAATACTTGTTTATTGTATTGTATACCCGTCATGCCCGAAACAAACATGAAACACAGTTATGTTGCCGGTGTCAATATTTTTGCAAGGGAAACCACTCGATCAGTTTAAAGAAGGGCCTATACTGTGATATCCAACATATTAAATATTTGAACTTTTTAATGTTTTCATACACCAGACCTAACAGGATTATAAATTTGCCCGTGGGCTTTACCCCCATTTGGTAATTGGCGTATTTCTAAACTGTTTTGTAACAGACACAACCATAAAACAACCATAAAACTTGAAACTTGAAAAAACAAAGAAAAATGTTTTGGAATGGGGAACCAGGGTTGCCAAACTTTTGGACGTCTAGGCCTATTGTAAATCTGTATTTTGAGATCGAAGACCCACCGTCCTGATCGGTCCAAATCGACAACTAAAAATGGCGGATTCAAAATTTTCTAATAACGCTTATGAGGAGGGAAACCCACAGAGCTTTAGCGATGACTGACACATTACGTCTCTTGCGTATCACCTTCGTTTGCGCAAATTCTCCTCGGAAAATATGATATGGACACTCGGTCGCTGCACTCCCTCGGTCAATATCATATTGTCCCTCGGAATGAAACCCATATTCAATCCCTCCCAGTAAATAACCTATATATATTGGCCTTGGACAATATCATATTGACACTCGGGCTGTTGCCCATGGCCAATGTCAGATTTTTCCTCGGAATAAAATTGATATTCCACCCTTCTCTATTAATCGTATGATCTGTGAAATGAAACTCTCTGATTGGTCAGCTTTTTGTGCTGTACCAATATGTATTGCTACTGAGATTGTCCCCTCACCTTGAGGCCGAGGGGAAAATCTCAGAGCAAGTCAGGATATTTCCCATGGATTATCTCCTAAGTAAATGTAATTGGCATTAATAAGATCAGAGGATAAAAACGTTATATAGAATAATTTGAAGTGCAACCAATGATATATTGCGCTCTCGATATTCTGCATTGGCACTCGACTTCGTCTCCTGCTAATTCAGAATTTTTCTAGCGCAGTATGCCAGTATCCTTGTATTCCACTAGTACTTCAAATCATTCAATAGCTTATGGTATGAGTCATTTATATTCTAAATATATATACATCGGAATGAAATGCGTCGATATATTGATCATTCCACATATACAGACACAAGTTCTATTTGGAACACAAAGGACAGACACTCACTAAATATTGATGGTTAATGTAGGCCTTTCCTATGGATTATCTCCTAAGTAAAATGTATTGGCTTAATACGATCACACGATAAAAACGTTATAGAATGATTTGGCATAAGGGCATATATATGTGACACGGGAAACAAGGAACAAGGAGACTCCATGGTGTGATAAATCTCAGCAAAGAATACATTACCATCTTTTATTTCTCAATTTGTAGAGATCAGATTGGAATGTCTGTGAATAACGACCTTAACCTACACCAGATAGACCCGGAGACTGGGAAGAGGCGTGTTAGTATATTGATGTGTGTGCGACGAATCCGCCAGATGGAGCCCCGATACAGTCTTGCTTGGATGCACTTGCATATGCGCGCGAAATGGCGGGAACCTAAGCTTGACGGAACCAAAGGCCAGGTACTGATATACAACCTACTATTTTTATTATTAATTGTGAGGGAATCTAGTCGATCCATAGTCGATCATATCTGAACTCTACTTACTGAGCTCTACTACCAATTGCAATTTGTAGGAAGTGAAAGGGCTAGACAAAATGTGGAACCCCCAGATTCAACCGGAAAACGCCTGCACGGAAATGAAGGGTAGCTTTGCCTATCATCATGTGGAATATGACGTAGCAGGTCGAGCATTTGTTGTAGAGCTACGGGTGATGCGCGGGCCTCTGGTGTCTCATTTTGATCTAAGACATTTCCCGTTTGACTATCAGGTACACTTCCCTACATAAGTTTGGCAACATTTTCCCCATTGGCTTACGTGTTAAGGGCTCTCTATCACGCGTGTCTATGTTTAAATTCTTATTTTCATAACCTGCAACGTAAGTAAATAAAAAGTATTAATGCAACAGAAGATGTAACTAGACTTTATTTCATATGCCTCTAAATGTTCTAATTTTTCCCCACAATTACTAGGAGTAAAAAATGGTGGGTTTGCCGCAACGCAAGTCATATATGATAAAATATCCATCCAATCCGAGTTCTCTAAAAAATGATCTAACAAAAAAACTATGTTTTTTCATGTTTAAAAACGTTTTCCAAGGTCAAAATTATTTTTCAAGAAACCTCTCCCATTGAAATAACGACGGGGGGTGAAAGATGATTTCAATGACTTTGAATCTCTGTAACTATAATATTGGTCCAAGAGTATTTCACGTCTTTCCATTTTTAAAATTAAAAACTAGAACCCCTAAATGGAGGACGCTTAACGCATCCTTCAACTACTTCCTTCATCCTTCACTGCCATTACAGGAATATTTTAATTAGTCTGTAGTTTGATTCATATAATATAGCCAAAATATTCATTTGAACTTGGGCCGTGGTGAAGTAAAAGGCCGTCGAAACAGTGTCTATTATTTTTCACAAATAAGTCATACTAAAGGTACATATCAATATGAAGGGTCTGGACTCGAATGTCCTTTTCCCAAATGTGAACTTACGTTGTTTATTTTCCAGAGAATACACATTATTTTAAAATCAGAGAAAAGTTCTGATGATCTTGAGCTAGTAGCTCCTCCAGATGAACCTAGTGTTATTGCTCAACCCGTTTTTGAAACACTGTTGGATTGGCATGTCACGAAATACTTGGACGTGGATATGAAAGAAATGAGAGATGAAATGACTCAGATTCGGCACCCAGCGTTCCATGGGGAAATATACGTTGTGCGAAAGATGAGCTACTATATCTGGAATTACTTTTTGATCATGGTATTGTAGTTGATCCTTAGTGCAGATTTATTAAATCTATAATATAATCTATAATCTTATCGTGCTATAGAACTCTTGAATACCAGGCCGTGCGATATGGACCATGTGTTTTAGTGATATACATGTAAGTGAGGATAGTACAATTACATACATTGTAATGCATTTGTGGCAGAGATATTTTCTTTAACCGATGACGAATCTGTGCCTTGATTATTCAAAAGAAGTTGAAAATAGTTTTCAAGTCATGCAAATGATTTTTGAACTGTGATTTTGAGAACGACATCACATATCATAATAGATGATTTTTTCAAGCAAAAATAGATATAATGAATTCCAGTAACTGTAAGGTTATTTTACATCATCATATACAGGCCCGTCAGATGGGGGGGTGCGATGGGTGCGACCGCACCCCCCTTTGACAACCCTCAAAAAAATATTTGAAAAATTAAAAAAAAAAATTAAAAAAAAAATTTTTTTGTAATTTTTTTTCATCATCTCATACACTTTTAAAGTGCCCAGAAAGCATCAAATAACATCTTAAAATTGTAAAATTTTCTAGAGGGAGTGGGACACCCCTCACACCCCCCTCAATACAATGGAAAAGTTCTGAATTTATTTTATGTATTGTCTCAGACACTTTTAAAGTGCCCAAGTGCCCACACATCATCACATAGCTCCTTGATATAGTCAATGTTTCTGGGGGACTAACACTTGCTCCCCTTTGGGATCCCCATCCCACCTCCCCCTCTGGCATCCCCTTTGACACCCCCAAAAATTGAAAAAAATGTAATTTTTTTTCGATTGACTCATACACTTTAAAAGTGCCCTCGCCCCCCTTGACACCCATCCAAAAAATTGAAAAAATTGTGATTTTCTCAATTTTTTAATTAACTCATACACTTTGAAAGTGCCCAGAGAGCACTAAATAGCGTTTTAAAATTGTAAAATTTTCTAGGGGGAGTGGACCACCCCTCACACCCCAAAAAACAATTGAAAAGTTCTGAATTTATTTTATATATCATCTCAGACACATGTAAAGTGCCCAGACATCATCAAATAGCTCCTTGATATAGTCAATGATTATGGTAGACTAACACTTACTCGCCCTCTTGCATCCCCACCCCACCTCCCCCTCTGGCACCCCCTCCCCCTTTGACATCCCCCAAAATATTGTGATTTTTTCAAAATTTTTTATCGTGTCATACACTTCGAAAGTGCCAAGGAAGCACCAAATAGCATCTTAAAATTGTAAAATTTTCCAGGGAAGTAGGCCACCCCTCACACCCCCCCCCCCACAAAACAATTGACAAAAATTCTGAATTTATTTCATGCATTGTCTCAGTCACTTTTAAAGTGCCAAGACTTCATCAAATAGCACCTTGATATGGTCAATGTTTCTTGGGGCAGATATGGGGGACAAACACTTGCTCCCCCTCTGGCACCCTAATCCCACCTCCCCCTCTGGCATCCCCTTTGACACCCCCAAAAATTGAAAAAATGTAATTTTTTTTCGATTGACTCATACACTTTAAAAGTGCCCAGAAGCACCAAATATCATCTTAAAATTGTAAAATTTTCTGGAAGAGTTGGCCACCCCTCACACCCCCACAAAACAATTGAGAAAACTTTGAATTTCATGTATTGTCTCAGATATTTTTAAAGTGCCCAGACATCATCAAATGGCACCTTGATATGGTCATTGTTTCTTGGGGCAACCCCTTGCTCTCCCTCTGGCACTCTACCCCACTTCACCCTCTCAATCTCTTTGACATATCCAAAAAGAATTTGAAAAAAATTCACTTTTTATTGACTCATTCACTTTAAAAGTGCCCAGAAAGCACCAAATGGGATCTCAAAAGTGTAAAATTTTCTAAGGGGAGTGGGTCCCTCCTCACAAGTTTGGAAGTTGCATTTGTTACTTTAAACACTTTAAAAGTGCCTAGAAGTCACCAAGTGACATAATGAAATCATAAAAACATAAAAATTTCTGGCAGCCCACTCCAAAAACTAAAGCATTCATTTACTCAAACACATTAAAAGTGCTCAGAATTAACCAGACAGCAAATTGAATTAGTGAAATTTTCCTTGCTGCCCCCCTAAGAAGAAAATGATTGAAAAAAAATCTGAATTTCTTATCAATAGATTCTATTTCAATTAAAACACCTTGAAAGGGTCCAAAAATCACTAAATGTGATCTTGAACTGGTAAAAGTTCTCGGGCATTTATGCCCTTCTAGTAAGCTAACACCCTCCCCCTATTCCAGTGTTTCTCCAAATTTCTCATATAATATTTAGTCTAAAAACAATACGAAAACAATAAAATACTACAAAATATAGGGAGTAACCGACCCCCCCCCCCTTTGACTTACGCAATTTGATTTACGCGGCAAAAAATTGACAATTTTATTTTCTCTTAATGGTACGTTCACACCAACGGCGCTTTGATGGCGCTTTAAAGCGGCTTGTAAAGCGGCACCAAAGCGTAACAAAGCTTAATTAAAGCGTCGGGGTCGTAATAGGTCGTAGAAAAGCTCGGGAGTAAAGCGGGATATTCGGCAAGAGCGCTAAATAATTTAAACTGTTTAAGCGTTCGCACCAACGGCGCTTTGATGGCGCTTTAAAGCGGATTGTAAAGCGGCACCAAAGCGTAACAAAGCTTGATTAAAGCGTCGGGATCGTAATAGGTCGTAGAAAAGTTCGGAGTAAAGCGGGATATTCGGCAAGAGCGCCAAAAAATGTTAAACTGTTTAAACATTTTGGGCGCTCTGTTACGAATTGATTGAAGCGCCGAGAGCGTATCAAAGCTTAACAAACCGTAACAAAGCTCAACAAAGCTTGACTCAAAGCGTAGGAAAGCTTAACACAGCTTGGTTCAAAGCGGGGACCCCAGTCTATTCACGGTCTGTTACCACTTGACACGCTTCGTTAAGATGTCTCAAGATTTGCTACGATCTGGCATGAAGATCTGACACGAGGTCAGACGCTTTCATCAATATCTGACACTCTTTGTTACACTTTCCTGAGGGACTCTCAAGCTTTCCAACGAATTGAGACGCTTTAATCAAGGATTGAAACGCTTTGCTAGGCTTTGTTACGCTTGAAAGTTTTCACACGCTATATCACGCCGTGCGACAAACGTCATGTCTTCTTCAGATAGGTCATGCTCTGGTCCATCTGGAATTTCTGGATCTCGTTGTTCTGCCATCGTGTTCTCGAGTCAAAGATGCAATGGTTTTATGGATCTACTGCATCTTTATATAGTCATTGGATCAAAAGCGGCATGGAATCGGCGATCTCGACATTTTCCAATGCGTGACAGAGCTTAACAGAGCGTAACAATGCACAACAGAGTTTTGCAATCGTATCAGAGCCTGATTTAAAGCGTCATAATCGCATCAAAGCGTAATAATGCTTATCAAAGCTTTTCAAAGCGTGATTTCAAGCGTAACAAAGCCTGATCAAAGCAGGATCAAAGCGTGAGGAACCTTTTAGAGCTATGTTAAGCTTTCCTACGCTTTGGATCAAGTTTTTCTGAGCTTTGTTACGGTTTGTTAAGCTTTGATACGCTCTCGGCGCTTAATCGATTCGTAACAGAGCGCCCAAAATTTTTTAAGAGTTTAAAATTTTTTGGCGCTCTTGCCGAATATCCCGTTTTACTCTGAGCTTTTCTACGACCTATTACGACCCCGACGCTTTAATCAAACTTTGTTACGCTTTGGTGCCGCTTTACAAGCCGCTTTAAAGCGCCATCAAAGCGCCGTTGGTATGAAGAAAAATGACAAAAATGACGGCGCTTTGCTCGCCGATTTAAAGCGTGGCATTCGCCGTTGGTGTGAACGTACCTTTAGTTAAAACCGCACCCCCCTTGGAGAAAAGTGTCTTACGGGCCTGATATACGTATTACAAATTAAGTCATTCACGTATATTTGCCCAGTATCAAACACAAACGTAATAACTATATCGTTCCTATATAATTATATTGATTATACTACCATGTTATTATTGTATGAATAATTATGTTTAACCTTCATTGTGTAATAATTGCTTTATTATTTTCAGTTCCTCATAACATGCTTCATCCCACTAACATTTCTTGTTGAGCTTCTGGGCTCCATTCACGTTAGATTGACGTTGGCTTTCACGTTGACGTTGACGGGTCTCAGCATGAAGTTTGTGATATCAAACTCAATACCTCGGGTTCCATATTTGACGCTAATTGTAAGTTTTTCCGATTTTGCAAACGATACCATGATAAAACGATACAGAACATGTACAGTGCGCATAATAATGAACAAAAAGATATACTACATAACACGACATTGTATGGTAGTTCTAAAAGATAATGAAATAAAAGAAATATATGTGGAGCACTAATCGTCTAATTTTAGGATTGTATCTATCAGGTCACTGTATATTTATCCTAGTTTGGATGACATTATTAGGTGTGTATACAATTTTTAATTTGACTTATAGAATGGATGTATTTTTGGCCGTGCCAGATATGGTCCACTGTCCACATTTCTACTGAATCTCATTTATGCATCTTTTTCCCATTAGTTTATACTCAACCAGAATTTATTTTCAAAAGCAAATCAGAAGAATTTTGAATGGAATGTAATTTTTTATCAGAGGAATATTTGTTTCCAGGACAGGTATGTATTATTGATTCTTATTAGTAACTGGGGTGCGACAACTTGGCATGCGGGGACTTACCTGATAGCTGATGAACAAACACGGCACACAGTGGACCTGTAAGTATAAATGCATGTCCGTATTCAAATACCACGCAATGTAAACATTCATATACGAAATACAGTACTCCTGTATGTATTTTCATAACATTGTTAGTTTGGGTTTGGCTTTGGTTTATCCTTTAGTATACAATTTGGGATATTTTAGAGTATAATATTTCTTCATCTAAGGCCAATGTAAACAATAATCTCTTAAACATGTTAAAAATACTCACTAATAAACATGCCAAAATCTTTACTCAAAGGCGAATACAATTATGTATTTTTGAAAGTAACTCAGTCCTTTTATTTTCAGGGCGATGACAATTTTCTGTTTCAGCGCATTCGTTGTGGTCCATCTACTTTACTACTCTTGGCTTTACGTTACCGTGAGTAAAACCAACATACTTGCATGTTAAAGGATGGGTATCGATATTGCGAAATTTTTGAACACACGTTTCTCTTAAACCAGTCATCAAAAAATTCTGAAAATTTTACACATTGTCAATTTAATGGTCATCTTTTGAATAGTAACAATATAATTTGAAATAGATTCATATACTTTTCTCTATATTGTTTTAGAAAACACATTGGACACTTCTTTTGTTCTTGGTATCATATGTTCGGAATGAAATGAAACATCTATCCGAACCTCATTGGAACAAAACGACACAAACACAACGTGTTTATGTCTCTCAATATTGTAATTATATAAAGGAAAGTTTGGTTAATTTAAAAAGTATCTTGTTAATGAAATTAAAGGTTTGTCTTAGTTTTTATCTATTTCGGGGTTTTTTGTTTTAATTTTTTGAATACATTTTATTAAATCAACCAAAATTTCCTTAATACAACTATAATATTGGGAAGTCTAAGAAAATGTTGTATATGTTATGTTGTTCAAACAAGCTTCGGAAAGTTATTTTATTTCATTCTCAAGAAATGGTAATAAAAAGGAACAAAAAAACAATTGCACTAAAAAAACAAAAAATGTTAACAAAAACAGTTATATAAAATATTTCTAAATAATTTTCGCATTTAAGTGTTGTCAATCAGTTAACATTACATAAAGGACCGTGTTTTTCAAAGAATGTTTTCAATAATTGGTTCAAGAGAAAAACATTGTTGAATTCAGTTCTCCATATCGATACTAATCCTTTAGGTTAGAAATAATGCTATTGGAATGATGAAAAAATGGGTTGAACTCTGCTGGTAATCAATAATTGTATGAACTTTTTTCTACATGCATTCACATGTTCAATTTCCCAATAAAATTGGTACCTAATAAAAACTATATTTACTATTCAGTAATATTGATGTAACGTATACCCGGGGACGTATATAACCTAAATCCAGTTTTCTCATAGTTTACCATTTACTTCCAGTTCTCAGATTTAAAATGCAACCCTACAATTTTGAAATAACCCTTAAGCCACACGAGTTTTTTTCCTGGTAGATAAAGTTTCAATGTGTGTAGCAGTGCTATACATACAGTACATACGATATGTAGCATCAACAGTTATTCATAAATTAGATAGTTTGTGTCATGTTTTATTTATGTCATTCCTTGTTTTGGAATCAGCTGAAGGCTTTGAAGTATTGCATTCTTTTGCAAATGTGATATAGTTTTAAACTCTGTTTTAGTTCACATCACACATGGACACTTTAAAAAAGCTAAACGATAAGCACGAGGTACATGATGTAAGTACTGTAGTCTTTTATGTGTTCTGTGAATGCAAAACTTATCATATACATGTACTTAATATTTCTAAGTATTGAGAAATTTAGAACAACTATTGTTTAAAAACTGAAAAGAAATGTCAACAAGTACATTTGTATACAACGTTAGCTTACCAACCAGACATGAAATATATTATCGATTTTCTTTATAATCTGTACACTTCATAATAAACAAACCATGTGCCACATGTTATAATTGTATATAAATATGCATGTTTTTCAGCGAAACAAAAATGGTGACAACATAAATAAACAAATTGATGCAGTTTCAGCTAGATTTGACTCAAAGGAAGAGACAGTTGAAATAAAGACAAAACTTTGATGTCTGACATGAGGTTATTTTTAATGTCATTATTGACCTTGCCAAATTAACACTGTACAATAAGCAAAATAAATATGTTTTATAATGATATTGTGCAGCTGTGAAGTGTGAACTGGCCTTTACATAAAAGATATCAGTTCTGTAACCTAAAATTTACTCTTCCGAGCTGATGTTCAGTTACCTGAAATAGACATTGTTGAAAACTAAAACAGTCAATCTTCAGAGTGGTCTAAAACATCCACATTTTTTTTGATTTGACTGGAACTATTAAGCCATAAATTTCATCAACATAAACAATAAACGTCGTGAACGTAGGATTGAATGATGCAATTGGTTCAAAAATGTCAAATTGATAAAAATTCAAGATTCTGCAATTCTGTGCCTACATTCCTCATGCGGAATTCTAAATATGGTGCACAATGTATTACAGGATTTAAGATGCAGAAATGCTCAAATTCGTTGGAATTGTCAGTTAATCTAAAAGTCAATGGATAATACTGAGTACTAGTAGTGTTGGATGGACATGAAGCACAGCTAGCATGGCTACATGTATTTAGAGCAGTATATAACTTCATTCTGAGCTTTTGAATGTAGAGTTTCATATATTTTATCTGAATAAAAACATATTTATGGTAGAAGAGTGTGTAACTTTAGAACATTTATATGTCTTTAATTGATTGTGTATCTTTTCCTCATTACAATTTCATTACAATTACTTTAGAACCCATTTATTAATTTTGGTGCCTACACCTGTTAACAATAGACTAGATGCGAGTAGAAATAATCTTGATTTACGTTATTAAATATTCAAATTTCAGTCTAAATGATGTCATATTTGAAATCTGCATGTAAAAGTACATCTAGAAATATGTTTTCGAAAATTGTCTATCAACTTTGAAAATTTAATTTTTTTTGAAAATGTGACTTCTTGTTCGGGTTGATTCCTCATAGACCCCATGTTACAAAATCACAAAAAGTGAATTATCTTCTCTTGTATTGGACAGATAGCATTTTCCTTTACTGGACATATTTTAATTTGCATAACTATTAGATACATGGGGGTTATATGAAAATTGAACCACGTAAATAGATGTAATTTAAGTTAAAGGAAACTTTCTACTATACCCGCCATGCTATCTGACCCGAACGAGCCACCTGGTGGTGAATCTGGTAACTACCTACTCGCATCTGCGTTATTGACATGTGTGTCATACCATGCTGCTACAGAATCTATTTTGCAATAAAGGATGATCCAACACAATACATCTTTTACATGAAACCAATGCACTACAGGGGCGTAGCCAGCTTTCGGTCAGGGGGGGTGCGATTTTGCCATAAGCAACACAAAAAATTAAGATTTCTTTTGAATTTTACAAAAATTGATGCAACTTCCTTCAAAATTGAGCTAGAAGCTTCAAATAAAAAGCATTTTAAAGCTCTTTTCTACCTCTATCCAATGGTCATATTTTTAAAGGTTATGGGGGGGGGGGTGCGATCGCACCCATCGCACCCCCCCTGGCTACGCCCATGCACTAGATCCAACCCCATTCCTTATTAATGTTTTCCTTTACTCTTGTACAATATTGTTTAATTGTTACCATTATAATTAGCTCTTGAAATAAGATCCTATTTACATCCACTGACATAAATATCACATTTTCAGAGATAAACACAAGCCATTTATTCATTATCAAAATATTAGACAACAAAAGATTGAGTAAAAATCCTCCAAAGATACGTGACTTGCAGTCTCTGTGTTTATACATGATTATTTTAAAAGTCATTACATAAGTGACTTTATCATTTCACTGGCTTCATGTGCCATAGTCCATCATTGAGGAAATGTAAATTGTCCACACCTATTCCTTTGTTCTTCTCTAAACTGAAACACAACAAGAATGAATACTTTATAAGCATTATCTCATTGCAATATGCACATTTTTGAAACAACTATAAATTCCTTGAAATTGGTTTAATTTGTCTCTTCACAAATCCTTTTGAGATTCAGATGCCATCTTGAAAAAAATTTCTTTAGCAGAGCTTGTATGTTCCTTAGCATCAGTATATTTTTGAACCAAATCTGTCAACTTGTATTTGAATTACTAAAGATTACATTTTTACAAAAAAGAATTCGTTTTGAATAGAGTGTCCATATTGAAAATCCTTTCTAAAGCAGAGATTCTATGCCCATGAGGCATACACCTGTACAGTCTGAACCAAAGGGCCATATGACATATTGCAAGTGATTTTAGATGGTATATCTTTCACCATGAGTACAGTTGTTTTTATCCAAAATTAATATCTTCAAAACTAGACTTTCAAACCATTCTACTTTTGAATAGGTTTTAGACCTCTTGTTGAATAATTTTTTTCATACAATAAAAATCAGAAAAAAGTTCCTCTTTTGAGTAAAAAGATTTAACATTTTGGAAAAATTGTTGACATGGGGACCCTCATTTTTGAATTTTTTGATTTATATTTTAATCATCATTGGGACTTCACTTGAAAGAAAAAATTGTTTTAATAAAAAACACTTTATTTATGTAAAAGATATGACTGTCTAAAATCACTTGCAATAATATTGCAATATGTCACATGGTCACAATTTGTCAACTGGTATTTGACATCAGAGTATGCTATCTAATAAAATCTGAATATATATTCAAAATAAGATTAAAATTTGAATCTAACGTTCAAAAAAAGTTTTACTTTCACTTACATTTCATCTGTTGACATTTTAGTGAACCCTATTGCCAGTGCATGCTGCTTGCCTTCAGCCATTATAGCCTGTCACGCTGGTTAAGGATATTAACAAGAACTTGTACAATCCTTAAAATAGGATGTTTTTTGTGAATTCATACAACCCAAAGATTTTATTTTTGAGGGAAGTTCCCAGAATTCACCTGAATTACATTGAAAAACAGATGCAATTGATCCCATTTATCCATCTTCAGAGGTCAGTGGCGGATCCAGAAATTAACAAGGGGGGGGGGGGGCAATGCTACATGTTCCGGATGCACCAACCAGCAGTTGCAGTTTTCACAGTGACATTATAGTGTCAAAATAGTTTGATAAAAATAATAAAAGTAGATGATATCACATGTTTTGTCCAGGAAGCCTTCTATAAACTGACATGTACCATGTCATTAATCACATTGGCATCTGGTAAAGCCAGAAAAAAACTTAAGTTTTGGTTTGTTTGCACATTTTTGGTCAGCCAGAGTTCTCTAAGGTGAACAAACAAAACACCAGGCATAAATTATTTTGAGCTGCACTTTACATTTCTTAAAGGATACAACAACTTTATCTTTAGGTAACTGTGACATCTTGGCTCCAGGGGATGTGAGGCCAGGACACATTATGTTTGCCCCACTGAGTACAAACCTTATGGCCCCTTTGTCCACTTGCATATACGGTAAAATAAATGGATCTGAAATGAAAATGACATAATGGTCAAGTTTTAAGGATACAAATGGCACCATTCGGTGGGATCTCATTGTGAAAAAAGATATTTTAAGTTAATGCTTGGACTAATGTTAAAATTACAAGCAGGTGTTTTCTCAATATGAGTATTAGTTCAGATAAATGATCACACCAAACTAAACAATGTTGTATAACGCGTCTCTAGTAGGGTTGAAGTACGGCAATTACGTTCCTGGTCTAGTAGATCATCTAGTTTGAAGTACGTTGTCACACAATCTCATTACAGAATGATATGGTCGCCATCGAATTTTGAATCATTTCAAAATTCTAAAATCACCTTCCCATCTGAGAATGTTCATGAAGTTCGTAAATACTCCTTAGAAAGTTGCAGCTACGTTCATTCCGTTCGCACCCAGTTTAAAACCAGTTTTGAAGAACGCAATAGCAACTTGTTTGGTGTGATAGCTATATTTTTGCTAACTCGTTCACAAGCAGTCTTTAATACGTTTTTAATCAGTTTAAACCCTTTTGCAATTAGTTCTACCTGACGTTCTCAATACGTCCTCAGACAGTTCAACTCATTGTAAAAATGTCCCTTGTAGGATTGAAGTACAACGGTTCCGTTCGTAGTACGTCCAGCTCATCGTTAGTATGTTGTCACTCGTTCTAATTGTAGAACGTGATGACCACGAGAACATTTTGAGCATGTTCTAAGTTCTATAGGACCTACCTGTTCGAGTATGTTCGATGACGTTTGTAAATAGACCCCAAACGGTTCTAAGTACGTCCAGTCTGTTCGTACACAGTTGAACCCGTTTTTGAGGATGTAGTGAGAACTAGTTTGGTGTGATAGTAGGGTTACACAAAACAATTTGAAATATGCATAAAAACAGAGAATATCAGGGCAAAGAATGTAAACAATCCGATTCTCCCATCTTAGTACACCATCAAACATTTGCCTGTTTAATTCAGCTGACAAAAAGTTTTAGTTATTGTACATGTAAATGAAGAACTTACATTTGTGTAGTAATTTCAGTGTTGGGGCTAATGGTCCATCCCGCTGCCTGAAGAAAAGTAGTTCACCATTTTGCCCTGATATAATTTCTATATGTTCTTGACTGAAATAAAACACAATTCACTTACATTATATTACACTATAACATAATCAAAAATTATACTTTAAGCATCTTATTAATTGTACTTTTAAGATACTGGTAATGCACATGGGCATTTATTGAGAGAAAAAACATACTAAGCATAGTCCTTACTTTCATTTAAGCAACTAAATAAGAAATCTGATAAAGGTTTTTTTACATCATATTGTTTATAAAGTTTTACCATTTCACTAATTTAACATTTCCTTTCTTTGGTAGAATTTCATCCATATATTCTGCTATGTAGGGGTATGCTTCTAATATCTGGGCTCTTATACCACGCTGTATGGATGATTTGAGATTGTTGACCCCACTTACACTCTCATCTGATACGAACCTACAAAACACATATAAAACTCCACATATACACGTGCTTCTAAGTAGAACATCAAAGCACGCCAAATGTAGGTGGGACAAGGAGTTTCAACAAAAAAACACAGGGACAGAGGGAAAGAGAGTTGTCCAAAATAAATCTACCAATTTGGAAGTCTTCTGTATTTTTTCCTTAATACATAGATGAGGAGGTGGATTTTCTTTTTGGATAATTATACTATCTGTTCCAGTGCCGGTTGGAGTTAAAGGCATTTCATTTTTTATCTCTTGGATATTGTGCTTATGTTATATGGTCTTAATCATAATCTGAGTTTATGAACAAAACATATTTCTACTTTGGCCTAGCCTAAGAGGTTCAAAACTTCATAACATTTCAATATGTGGAACGAATGAATTATTCATGAAACATTTGCTAAGAACTGAACCATGTGAAAACAGACCTCCGATTGGTCAATTTAGATTTAGCACACTTGGGAGAAATCAACCAATCATAAAGAGAGAGACGTTTGTTTATGCTGTATTTGATATGAGATAAAATGTTGGTTTCCAAATTCTAACCGTTTTAACTGCTACGGTATGTGTCAAGTGGTTTCACTACAAGGGCACTAATTATCAAACTATACAGATTATTCAGTCAGTTATTTAACTAAAAAACTAATGGTATTCAAACATTTCAATCTATATTTCAGTAATATTTCTGTGCTTAATATTCATATTTAAAATTTCATACAATTCTAAAACCAAAATATTTTGGATCCGAATTATCACAAGGATGTGTTTATTTTCACGATGGCAGATTTCGCAGCCCCAGCTGGCCATTTCAATTTATGCTTTTGACGCACGGAGTAATTGATAGATAGCGCTGTTTTTATAAAATCGATAATCACGTGGTAATAAACTGTACCAATTCGAGGAAAACTACGTCACAAATACGTAGGCGAAATGTACATGCAAATCTTTAAATCTGTACTGTACAGCCGAAAATACATTTTAATCCAGTCCAGCTGTTTGTTAGAGCATGAACTAGGCCTATACTGCAGTACTGTAAGTGTTAATTCATTTGTACTGATGAGGAAATCAAACTGGGCCATATGGGACAAAATCCCGGGATTAAATAATAAGTACGCCATCTTGTTTTTTAGCCCTCGCGTGATAGGGATATTTAGACTCTTGATCTCCCATAAAATTGTTAAATGAGATAAATTAACAAAGTTGATTTTTTGATGAATCAAAGATCAAAAACAATTTCTGTGATTTTAATTTTTTAAATAAAACCATAAATTTCTCAAAAGAACATCATAAAAGCGACGTATTACCCGCGTAATTCTACCTTATCTTTCACAGAATGTAACTTGAGAATGAAATGACGCCCGGAAAAACGGTAAAAAGCACAACAAACCTTGAAAAAAGTTGAATTCTGTACAGAAATCTTGCAAACGGAAGTCATTCTATGACAGAGGAATCACCGTTCCTATGGGGGCTAAATACTTGGAAATATGTTACAGCGACATCTATAAAATAGTATGAAAACCTTTTCATGTGGCCAGATCAGAGCACCAAATCGGACATCGTGTTTAGTGTTATGGTTTCAACTTAGAAGATTAAATTGTTGTCGGGGTTTGTCATACCTCGTTATACCAAAGAAAGTTTACTTCTCCATGCAATGAGTATATCATTTGCGGATAACTTTCACTTCTGGTTGAAGTCAAATAACACAAGGGGTAAAAGCAATTGAAAATGGCGCCAGAGTATCTATAAATCTATAATGTCCCATTTTTGACATGATTAAGATAATAATTAAATATGTTTTCAGTCCAACTTTGGGGGTATTAGTAAGATCTTTATTGGAGCAGTTTCAAGTATAAAATACAAAACTGCTCCCTCAGCTGGACGAAAAATTAAACATACATAAATTATCCATAACTATTATCATGTCACTATATATTGTGCCATTTGGAAGATAAAAAAAGAAATGGTACATTTTGGAGTATGATACATGGATTGTGGTGCAGTTTTCAATGAATTTTACTCCATTATTGGACTTCAAACAGAAGTGTAGGTTATCCGCAAATGATAAACCCATTGCATGGAGTAGTTAATTATCTTTAAAACGAAACATGTCAGTCAAAAAATAATTTGTTTAAGTTTTCCTAGTGTTTTTTTTTAAAAAATAGCATGCTCCTTCAAGCTGGACAAATTTTTCAATGACAACCCGTTATGTACATTGTATATGGTCATTCTATAACTAAATTTTGAGATTCAATGGAATTTAAGGTCTTATTTTTCATGATCAAAATAGTCACACTAGACAACAATATTAATTTGAATAAAGCCCATAGGCTTCAGTTTGGGCAATAAATAAATGAGCATTCAATTTTCTATCACCATATCCAAACCATTGTGGTTTGAAAGCCCATAGCCATGGCACGGAACTCTGCCAGATTCCTTCTGTTCGTCTCTAGGCTCAAGTATAACACACAAAATCTTAGGAAAATTCTTATTTCCTTAATTCTGGAGTCAATTTATTAATAAAAATAAATATGACATGTCATACCTCAAAAGATGCGTACTGTTGTTAGGTATATCACCAATCACTTAACCAATATCAGTACTGTCAACACCCAAAGATTTTCTCGCGGGACAGATTTTTTAGACCCAGTGCCCAAAATTCGCGGGATTTTGCGGGACATCTACTAAATTCGCGGAATTTCGCGGGACTTTTAAGGGATTTGCGTGATTGTGCTAATAGGCCTTTTTTATCAAATTCGCTGGATTTTGCGGGACCATTCGAGGGACAAACAACCTAATTGCGGGACAGTTAACCAGTACTGTCAACCCCTAAAGATTTTCTCGCGGGACAGATTTTTTAGACCAAGTGCCCAAAATTTGCGGGATTTTGCGGGACATCTACTAAATTCGCGGGATTTTGCGGGACATTTAAGGGATTTGCGTGATTGTGCTAATGGGCCAATTTTTTTTATCAAATTCGCGGGATTTCGCGGGACCATTCGAGGGACAAACACCCTAATTGCGGGACAGTTAACAGGGGTACCACCAAAAACTTCATAGAGGGACAGATTTTTTAGACAAAGTGCCCTAAATTTGCGGGATTTCGCGGGACATCCACCTAAATTTGCAGGATGTCCCGGGACATTCAAGGGATTTGCGTGATTGGGACTAATGTAAAAGCGTGTAAAAGTACTTAAATCAAACTTTCAGATACTGATTAATCAAATATAATGCACCGTTACATTGTAACTTAAATAAACGTCAACACAATTTCACAAAATACGCATAGGAATATTATTATACTTCATTGTAATTTATCAAAAACAAAAAACATGCTTCAGGTGTGAGTACCGTAATGTAACACGAAATTCAAAAATTCGGAACAATACTTTGCACTTCTGGCGTCGTGACCAACTATGAAACGCTTACCCCCATAATGTTATATATTAAAATGTACCTATTCATATACTGTAAGCATGGGCTTTCAATTGAAAGCCCATGATATAGGGGTTCGATTAATCTACATCAAATTATAGGAAATGAGGTTACTTTTCTAGATAGGGTTTGTAGAAAAAACCGGGTACTGGGTAGTAAATCCTCCATGCTGGGTTCAAACTTGGTACCCGGTCGAAAAAAACGGGTACCCAAAAAACGAAATATACGAATATACAACATAATTAGATCATTAGAAAACGTGTAAGATTTGTTTTGAATTATAAAAATGTATGTTACTTCCTTCAAAATTGAGCTAGAAGCTTCAAATAAAAAGCATTTTCAGGCTCTTCTCTTCCTCTATCATCATGGTCATATTTCCATTGGTAATGAAGGGGGGGGGGTGCAATCGCACCCCCTCCTGGCTACGCCAATGACATTGTAAGACGATTTGAAAAACAAGACAAATCAATCTTACTCTATTTTCAATACTTCGTATGTTGGTACATGAATTGTTTTGATTATGATTTAAACCTGTAAATAGCTATCGTTGCTTTAGCAGAGAGGTGACGTGTGTTAATTTAAATGATGCAACGTGTAAGATTTTGATTATTAATCATAATTTAAGTTATCCCAATTTTAAACAAAATGTCCACTGAATTGTAAATTGTTATGTCTTACAATGTCATAGGCGTAGCCAGGAGAGGGTGCGATGGCCATGACGATAGAGGAAGAAAAGAGCCTTTAAATATGCTTTTTATTTGAAGCTTCTAGCTCAATTTTGAAGGATGTTACATACATTTTTGTAAATTCAAAACAAATCTTACACGTTTTCTCATAATCTATTATGTTATATATTCGTATTTTTCGTTTTTTGGGTTCCCGTTTTTTTGACTGGGTACCGGGTACCAAGTTTGAACCCAGCATGGAGGATTTACTACCCGGTACCCGTGTTTTTCTACAAACCCTTTCTAGATATCAGCGTCCATTTATTGTAACTCGCGTTTGCTAATATTTGCTCAGTTCTGAGATGAAGGCCACACGGGTAGTAAAAAGGCCAACGTTGGAACTATTTGTGACCTACATCCCTATTTTCGTAATTAAAATGAAAGTTGAACCTTTCCCCTTTATTTTGATACCAAACAACAGCATGCTAGGTACTTAAAATTAGGTAAACTTTACTCCTCAAAAGTGCAAAAACTAATTAGCTTCTTATAAAAGATAAGATAATCACAATATAGGGGATTGCAACAATTTCGGAAATTCGCGAAGGTCAAAGCCACATTTGCGGGACTTCGCGGGACATTGCGGGACACGCGAATTAGCCTAATTTTGATCAAATTCGCGGGATAATCCCGCCATTCGCGGGACACTTGACAGCTCTGGTTAACAGTTTAACCACCAAAGACTTCATAGAGGGACAGATTTTTTAGACAAAGTACCCTAAATTTGCGGCATTTTGCGTGATTGGTAAAAGTACTCCAATCAAACTTTTAGATACTGATTAATCAAATATAAATCACTTAAATTGTAACTTAAATAAACGTCAACACAATTCCACAC